CACATAAGCACTAAAAAGGCTTAAATAAGCATGACCTGCAAGCAACTGTGGAGTTCAGAACAGATTTTTACTGTCTTCCATGAGACTAGTCAGCCACAGGAAAAGCAAAGTTCTAGTAAGCTTTCTGCACCTGCAAGATTCAGCTATGCTCCAACTCAAATATTTGCAACTTTTTGTGTACAACATTCCCATAAAAGAAGGTATGTGGATCAATGGATGCTTGTCTGTAAATTTTAAACTATAAAACTTTCTGCTTGTAAAAAAGGAAAAGCTCTACTACCTTATCCTACCAAGCCATCTGTCTTTGCAGTGGGACCACAAATATTCCTCCAAAATTCCAGCTGAAAAACTTTCTGTTCGGTTGTATTTACTACCTGGGACAGAACGAAATTGGCTTAACAGGTTTTGTCTCAAATATTAATATGGGTCCTAGTTCCAGTAATGTATCTTCAAGCAAGCCCACTCGCCTTTCACATTACATTCCTAAAATCACATTTCCACTGAAAGAATCAAATTTCAAAACTTAAAAATACACAAACAAGAGAGCAATACAGCATAAAGTGCTGGTAGTTGCTTAGCATAGCTAAATGTTTCTCTTGAGTGAAAACTACTAGTCTGAAACCTCCTCAGGGAAGGGTGTCTGAAAGTGTCAAGGAAACTAATGCAAGCTGCTTGTGTTAATGAGTTTAAGCTGCTGGCACCAGAGCTACTGCCAGAGTTTCACTCCCTATGCAATTGTTTTTCAGGAGGAAGGAGCAACCTAAAAATCACCAATTTAAGATTACCTGGAAAATTAAGCATTTGCAAAGGTAATTTGTAAAGTAGATACTAGAAGTTTAGGTTATAGTGAATGTTTCAACTGAACTAGGAGAGGCTGTCTGTTATGCTTTTACTAGTTAGGAGAGCTACCTGAATCCTACTTAAAGAGTTATAAGCAAACCCCACCCACTTTCCAAAATACTGAAAATGAAGATTCTGCAGAGACCCAAGATCGTATATAATTTTACTCACAGTTAGTCGCTTATAAGGGTATGTGTTTAAACAGTTTGCAACTTCAAGAACAAATAATATTTTTATTAAAAGGTTCTTAAAGGCATAAAATTTGTCACTTCGACACAAAACATCCTTTTCTGTTAAGAGATTAGTTATTTAGAATTTTGATATAATAAAGGAGTTACTGCGAAGTTTTTAAAATATGTAAGCCTCACATTTACAATGGCAACAGTTGGAAGTTAGGCATTTAGATCCACAGAAAGAACAGCTTACAAACTACACATTCTTGTTGGAAAACACTGTCTGAAATAATTCAACCATGCTTCCTCAGCTCAAGGAAGCTCAAGACATTATACAGTGATGTCAACTAGTAGACAGTATCTGCACATTGACTGCATTAATATTTAAGGTGTATAACTTCATGATAATAAAATGACCTCCACATAAAAATCTACATTTTTTCTAACTATTGTGGGGGGAAAAAACCCCAAACTTTGGTATTATAAGGTTCTGAAAAGACATATAGCACATATTTAGCAAAATGTAAAATAATATTGTTTTAAAAAACAAAATTATTTTATTTAAAATTTACGTCATCTTCCATGTAGAAGCCAAGATCTGAACCTTACAGGGAGAGAGCTGTTTCACAGCAGAATACATTAAGAGATCAGCTGTTCTGTGTTGTAGGCATTTAACCCAGAGAATGGCTATAAAATATTTTAAAACAATATTAACCCACAGAATCAGGTTGTTAGAGATGTCAATCTTCTCAACTGGTTGGTACTTCCTTCCGATTATGTCTCTCTTTTTTGTGGGGTTAGAAAGAAATTTATTCTTTGATAAGGCATATTATAGCATGCCACAGAGAAATAGGTCACTGATGACATGTAGTTTTGTAATCACCTCAAATATACCTGTGCCTATCTCTGATACGCTGTTGGTGCACCATTCTTCCATTAGGCACTGATACAACACAGGATACCAACACTGGAAGATGGGATCTTGTTTACTGAAAATATCTATTTAATGCAGTTGGACAAACTCAAAGGACTCTTCCCAAGTCATTCATACTTGTACATCTCATGCTCTAGGTGGTATGACACCAGAAATATTATGTCTGGTCTATAAGCAATTTCTTATACATATACTTTCCACCTTTAGATGAAATTCTCAGTCTGAAATGTCGACATGCTATCATTCTGGCAAAGAGAAGCTAAAACAGAACATCCCAGTATCTTGCACTTGCAACAGAACCTGACAAACAGCTTTTATACATACCTAACCATTTGTACAAAACTGCTGAAGAACTTACTCTCCAGAAAACATCAGTTAAAGGCTTCCTGTATCAGTATTAAATAAGAAGAAATAATAATATAATCCATTAAGCCCTTTAAAACAAATTCACTGTAGTCTATAATGCCAAAGTCTCTTCTGATCAGGTAAATATTTTTAAGGTTTTTTTACAAATATTACAGATGCTAAGCCACAAAACATTTACTGATCTTCCCAAATCTCAATTACACCAACTAAATCTGAAGTAGCTAGAAATACTGGTCACCAAATACTAGATAACATTATAAATAAAATCTTAAAGTCTCTGACATCCTATTAAATGCAATTGCTTCGAAAAAATAAAAACCCTTCCTGATTTTGCACTTTTCTTTCAAACACATACTCTCTGAAAAAGCGTTCAAAATTTCTATGCCTCAACTACACATTTACTCTGTGTGTTTACTCTATATCTCAACTTTATTATCAGCATCTAAATTTAAGTGTTGGCTGCCTGGGGCAGGGATGGGGCTCTTCATTCATTCAGCACAGCAACCATATTGCAAGTGCTTGATTAAAAGCAGAAAAAAAATGCATCTTACATTCAGGCAGAAAGACAGATAAATGGGTTTCAAATAGGTACCTATAAGAACACTAAACCCACGTAAAGGATGTAAATGAATGATCTGTTACCATAAAATACTAGATCATTTTAAAATGACATTTTGCAGCTCCACAGCCCTTTTAACACCACCAGTATTCACAGTCCTGTATCTATAAAATGCATTTTGTTAATACACACCAGATAACTCAAAAGAAAAGGTGCCCAACTTCCGCACAGGAACAATCAAGCTGCAGTCAATCAGCACAGTGGCAAATCAAGGTGCACCAGACCATCCTTCACAAATCAATGCTCGCACATTACATCTCCTTTATTCAGCGCGCACACACATACCCCACCATCAGTCTCTTGATTCACCGCGCATACACCACTGTCAACAAAGCATGTGCCAGTTGCCATTCCCAGAACAATACAGCTCAGGTCATCCCCTGAAAAGATAAAAATGCACATTCCTCACATCCTTTATGTCTGCTGTACTTCCCTCGCTTTGACTTAAATCACTTCTACTGCACAAGATGCCAAAACTCAGTTGTGATTAAAGATACTTACATAATACTATGAAGACCAAAGAGATACACTATCCTGAAGCATATCTTTTCATTCTAACAATACCTGTTCCAAGACATCCACAGGACCGAAAGTTGCACAGATGGCAGTTAAAAATCAAAACAAAAAACAAAACCCTAGAGCGCACATACCACAACTTATGTCCTGAGAGCAAAGAGAAGAGGAAGATACCTAAGCAAAAGACTGAGGAAGAGAGAGAACAACTGATTTTACGTCTGATTTTTCCTTTCACACGCCTAGACCCAGAACCCGCAATTGTAAAAGGTAACATTTCATTTCCTCACCTACCCAATGACAACTCCAGTCCCAGAAGCGAGGGCATTTAAGAACCGCATTCCCTCCTAACAATCGCGGACCGTGCACCGTCGTGGCTGCACAATTCGCAAGTGACAAGGAGGAAGGAGAGGGCTGCCAGTGGCCCCCACACCTCCGTGCCACCGCTCCGCGGGAGGGGGCTGGAAAGCAAAGGCAGAAAGCGAAGAGAGGTGTGGAAAGGCAGTCCAGCATAGCCAAATGCAGCAAGATTTTTTTTTTTGTTTTTTTTTTGCCCGCCCCCCCCCCCCCCCCCCCCGTCACTCCCCGGCTTGCTTCGTGCAACTCACCTTCCCTCCCCTCCCCCCCAGGCAGGTGGCACAGCCCCCTCGCAGCGGGGTGCAGCAGCCAGGGCAGATCCCCCGACCCTCCGGCAGCATTCCTCCCCCGCCCGCTCCCCTCCTCCCGCGGGGGGCTCCCCTGGCTGCACCCCTCCGCCCAGGGGGGTGTCCTGCCCGCACCCTGCTCCCCCCCCTGGGGTTGTGGGCCGGGCATGGCGCTTCCTCCCCTCCTCGCTCCCTTCCAGGCCGGGAGGCGGCTCTACCCCGCTCCCTCCGTCACCCACCCCCGGGCTGGGCCTAGCGCTGCTCGGCGGCTGCCGCCAGGCCCGAGGAGAAGGGGGAAGGGGATCCCCAGCCGAGCGGGCGGCCCACACTCACCCAGGCCGATCCCCTCAGGGCCGCCCCCGCCGCCTTCCATGCCGGGCGGCGAGGGGAGGGGGGCACAGGCGAGGCGGCGAAGGGCGGGTGGAGGAGGCGAGGCGGGAGGGCGGAGGGCAGGGCGCCCGGGGCCCTCCCTCTCTCCCTCCGCTCGGCCCCCTCAGCCGCCGCCGCGGAGTAGCCGCTGCCTCGGGCTCGGGCTGAGGCCCAGGCCCCGCGGCCGCCGGCGGACACGGCTCCGGCTCCCGCTCCCCTCAGCTGCCGCCGCCGCCGCCGCAGCGCTACGTGGCCGCCGCAGCCAGTCTCGCGACTCCGCCGCGCGCGCGCGCACGCGCGCGGGCGCGCGCCGGCGCGGGGCGGGCGGGCGCGCGCGCAAGGAGGGTGGATTGCCGCGCGTGTGCGCGGGCAGGGGAGCGCGCGCGCGCGGGGCGGAGTGAGGGTGGGGGGGGGGGTGTATGTGTGTGGGGGGGTATACACACACACACGGAACACCCATAGGCTGAGGGGCGGGGGGCGCATGCGCCATGGGGCTGTTACCTCGCTGCCCCCCCCCCCCCCCCTTCGCTGTTCACCTCGGGCTGCGGCGGAGCGCAGGTGAGGCGCGGGGGGGGGTGTCTGCGCATGCGCGGGGGCCGGCGCCCCGCGGGGCTCAGGTGAGGCGGCGCGCGCGTGTAGCCTGGCGCGCGGCGGGAAGGCGCCGGCTCCCCTCAGTGGGGCCGACCGTTACTCCGCTGAGGTAATTAGGGAAGGCCGCCCTAATTGCAGTCAGCTGAGCCGGGCAAGCTGTGGCGAGTGCTCCGCCGAGCTGCGGCTAACCCCGGCCCACGCCTCGCCTCGCCTCCGTCGCTCTGGTGAAGGCCGCCGGTCGCAGCTCTGCCGCTGGCAGCTGGGAGAATAATCGTCGTGATGGGAGCCGGGTCGGCGTGAGGCTTCGGGGCCCTGGTCCTCACGGATAAGTGGGGTTAATGCTTCACACAGCGGCTGCGGCCACGGGATGGGAGACGCCTTGAAAGGGTCGTGTGTCGTGTAGGGTGATAGAGCTGCCCCTCAGGAGACAGGTAAGACCTTAAAAAAGGCCTTATCAGTGAGGCCCAATCTAATTTACAGTAGCCAGAGGAGTCGGTCGCTTCTGTTATTATGCCAAACCCCATCTCCTACTTACTCAAACCTTCATCTCTCCTTAAAACACTAATAACTACTTAACTCTGGCCTGTGGTTTCTTGATTACACCCACCTGCAGGGCCCAGGACTGATGCATGAGGGAGATGTGACCAGAAGTAAAAAAAATACTTTTTGCTGGTAGAGCTCCCTGTTAGCGGCAGGTATGGGACTCAGGAAGGGATGTGGGGAGGGTCAGGGCTGCTGTTTTCCAGGCTGGCACAGCGTTTTGCAGCAGAACCACTTCTCCCAGGAAGCTGCAAAGCTTACTCCATAGCCCTGAAAACCACTGCTGAGTGCTGTGTAGGAGGGAGGAGCACTGCTGTGGTTTAGGTTTGGCGGCGGTAAAAGAGTTAGTGAGAGTAGCAGAAACAGGAAAAGGGGGAATGGCACCAGCCCCTTTGGTAGTGTTAGCTGCTTCCCAGGGACTTCAGGAATCTCTTATGCCCTGTAGTTTTGGCTCCCTCTTGTCTACTCTCAGACCTGTGTTCCTGCTGTAGTTCCCTTTTTTTAAATCTTATAGACCGCAATCCCTTTTCTACCTGTGGTTTTTGCTGTTTGCTTCAAATGTCCCCCACTTAACAGTGTAGGGCACTTGATTTGAGGTTCTGCAAAAAAATCTATATGCCCTCACTCCTCTAAAATGCAGTGTTTCATGCCAGTGTATTAGACCTGCTCTTGATTATTGAACGTAAAGCCCAGATTTGAGCTCCCTGTGCAGAGCAAGGATTGGGGCTTTCAGAATTAAAGTTTATAATCAAATAAAAGGGGCAGGGTAGGCTGGGAAAGCTCCTTGGTGGGATCAGAGCAATGTTGCCAGTTTTATTCCTTGCCCCAGCAACCCCCTGATGTGTGGGCATGGGAAAGGAGCAGAGCATGTCACACTTTACTCTGACCAGCCCCATGGGAGCTGTTACTAACTGGCCCAGTTCAGAACAGGCCCCAGGCTGTTCTCATCTCTGGTGGGACTGTGTAGCTGGAGAGGGAGGGGATAGCCAGGGGAGACCCTGGGTTTTGAGAGAATGGGCACTGCTCCATTTTAGCCTAACACCCTTGTGCAGTGCAGCTTCTTGAGAAAAATAGAGGATGTCAGGGGATGTGGTGCTACTGTTTGTTAATTGTGTGCATGTGAAGGATGCCATATAGTAGAATTTCTTGCCTTGAAAGGGCTGGGGACCTTTTTCTTGGAAAGTGAATGAACAAGACAGTGACAGAGCCCCACTTTCACATGTGGGATTTCATCAGAGGCACAACTAAGGGATGTTGGAAAACAGTAGGTGCTCTTGTCCAAAGGAGTACACATGAAAAGTAAAGCCATCAACTGTTTCAACACCCACAAATGTGAAGCCACTGCATGTGTCCATGGGACATGAGTAGGCTGGGGCTTTGATAATATCTCTCTCCAGCATGAGGTGAGCTTTTGGTCTCCCAGGCTGTTTTGCTGTTCCCTTTTCTCTGATGCAGTCTGTGGTTTTCTAACTTGGCTTCTGTACCCTGAGCCTGCAGCACGAGGTCCCCTTGCGTTGAAATGGCTATTGAAGAATTGCAGGGGCCTTTCCTGAAGAAGGTGTTCTACATCCTCAGCTTCACATATGTCAGCAAGGGTGATTTTACTCCTCCCAGATAAGAGCTATGCAGAGATTGAAACGAAGTGTTAAGTCCCTCTTTCTCAGTGGAGTCCTTGACTCTGCAGAGGGAGAGTTTTAAAAAAAATAAAGCAAGCGCCAAGTGCAAATATCCCTGGACTCTGAAGGGCTTCTGATGTGAAGAAACCAAAGCACTTGTCCTCATGGCCCTCCTTGTCTCCCATCAGCATCAGTGGTGGCCTAGGGAAGAGAGAACTGCAGAGGAGAGTGATTCTTCCTAGCCTCGCTGCCTGGTTTGGCTCCCAAAAGCCCAGGGCACCCACTAGTCGCACACTTTCTTCCCTGGGTGTTTAGCTAATGGAGGGTGACAGCTCCTCATGCTGCTCCCAGGGAGAGATCCAGCTGAGAGGTTGGCTGTTGTACTTAGCCCTGTTCCCACAAGGAAGCCTGTTAGAGCTATTTACATCCCTCTCTTTGATCTAGCTTTTGACATGAAAAGACATGTCAGCCAGGTAAAGGGAAACAAACAAAATGCACTAACCACCCCATATCTCTGCTTGCACATGATCTGCTCCCTAGCAAACACCTGCCTCATAGCCACAGATCCTTATCAGCCCTCTGATTTCCTTGCTGTCATCTCTGTTTTCCCTTCACACCGGTGTATAACTTCTAGGGGCAACTTTCTGCATCTTGTTACTTGCTTAGTAATACGCTGTGGCTCCCTTGCCCCCTCTCTCTGGCATTTCCCTCTTCTCCAGAGTATAATCAGTGTGGGAGATGCCTTTATGCATCCCCCTCATTGCATGTGGTGCGAGGGACAGGTGATGCATATCTTCATTTCCTCCCTAAACTGCTGCAGTGTTTCAGCTCGCTCCAGAAGTAGCAGCAATACAACAGTAGGTGACATTGTCCCTCCCTGGAAACCAGGCCTTTTTTTCTGCTAAGTAGCTTAGGACCTTTCAGGGTGAAAAGTACAATAAAAGTATGAGAATTTGTTGGGCCAAGGGCTGCAGATACAGCAGAACACTGTGTTACTCACCTGTGTTTTTTCTAGAGGATAAGATATTCTAGACTTGCTGAGAAAGTGAACTTAACAAGAGTATTGTTGAGATGCAGTGAGCTCTGTGGTGGGGATAACCACTAGTACCAGCTGCAGAATAGTGTGGGAAGGAGAAAAATCAAACAGAGGTAAACCCCTGCTTTTATCAGCCGTTAATTTTCATGTGGTGTGGGCAAGCTTCTTGAGTTTGCAAAGTTGGGTGTTCTTGGGCAATCCCTGAGCCATCTGCTCTAGCTATTTTATATGTCTTTCAGGTAGCAAACTGGGGCTGGAATCCTCTAGTATGAGAGATGTCAGCCCAGTCTGGGGCCTGCAGTCCCATGTGAGCTGTGCTGCTGGGAGATGGGGCCCAATTTATGAGAGTTCTTGGCTTTACCCAGGCAGTGATGGCTCGCTGCTTCATCTGGGCACTTGTGATGATTTCTCAGGAAACTCAGCTGCCAGCAAGCCAGCCCTTCTAGCCCTTTTCTTCCCACAGCCAACAGGGAGATGGGCTGCCTTCCTGCTGTCCTCCCTGCCTCCTCCCATGGTGAGAGGTGGCTTGTTGGTGCCGGTGACAGGGCTGATACTAAGCAGGGCCCAGGGGAACAGCACTAGTCTTTCTCTACATAATTGGTCTTTTGCTGAGGCCTCCAAATCATAACAGATCTGTTTTGGGCACAGCTTGACCTGGGCATGACTTGACACTTGTGAGAATGCACTTGTAATGGGGACTCTTTCTCCTTCCCTGAGGTGCTGCCCAAGGACCCTGCAGAGAACAGGCCCTGGCCCACTAGGAAAACAAGCCAAGGCTGAGAAGAGAAACAGGCATGGACAGGGCACTGACGCCTTGCTGATCCAGTCTGCACAAACCAGGTGATTCTCAAATTAATGCTTTATCTCTTAGGTATCCTGCTATGTCCTGCAGGATTTGGGATCCTCGCAGGCAATGGGAAAGGAAGCAAAAGGAAAACAAAGGGTCTTTCCTGCTAGCTCTTGTCACAGGAAGCCCCGCACTGTCTGAGGGATCCACCACCACTGAGTGCAGAGGTGCTGGACTTTGAGACTATATGAGAGCAAAGTAGAAGTTCAAGCAGAGGAAATTCCTGTTCCCATTCTCCCTTCTCCTTTACTAGTTCAGTGTAAAGCCACAATTAAAGATTAACTGCCTCCAAATAACGTATCATCCAAGCTAACATCCACCAGCATCTCCTTGTGCCCAAGATTAGACCTTTGGAGCAGCAGGATACAGGCAGAGTTGACATGCAACAAACAACAGAGAGGCAGAACTGCAGACTGAAGTACCTACTGCGGGTACCGGTAGGTTTAACTCTGCCCTTCTGAAAAGACACACCGGGCCCTCCCTGACAAGGATTTTAATGGTGCAAGCACCTGCGTGCTGAGGGGCAGCTCTTCAGGGTCCCGGCATGGCTATCTCATTTCACCATGGTTTTACAGGGCCTTGTGCATTAAGGGCTTGAGCTCAGCCTGGACAGGACAGCAGTAACAGCCTTGTATAATACAGAAGAGCCTGGTAGATCCATGTGTGGGTTATTAACTTTGGGATACTGGGGGTGGGGTGGTAGCATGACTATTATCAGAGCCATCAGCCTCTGCATAAAAATCATGCCACAAAAAAAATAATAAAAAGTTCTCTTGGGGAGCCTTGGTTTTGTGCCTTTTTTTTTTTTTTTTTTAATAAAGTAAAATACAGATCCTGAGATATGGCAGTTGGACAAGAACAGGATGGGAGTGAGACAGAACTGGGCTTTTACTCTTTGTTGTCTGTTTAATCAGCTTTAGTGTTACGCTGTAATCCAAGTGATCTCTCCAGCAGACTGCCCACATAAGGGAAGTGCTAAAGTTTGTGCTGAGGTAATTGTTAAATGGAAATGTCACCAGAGCAGGCTGTTAGAGACACTTCTGCTCCCGTGTTAAAGAGCACCTCTGCTCAGATCAGCACCAACCCCTACCGAAGCAGTACAAGTAAGGTCCCAAGTAAGGTCCGTGTATCTTGGCTGGTGAGGAACAGACTGGTTTAACTAGAGTCCTTTCCATTCACACCCAATCCTCCAGCCTAGCTTTTTGTGTAGAAACTTCCCTCTGGGTCTGAAAAGCACCGGTGGAAAGCTGTGCTTGGGAGGAGAATGCTGTGACAGAGGAAGCAGAGCTGTATTTTGCCAGCTTTGCAGAAGAGGCACTGCAAGACTCATACCCAAGAAATTCTTGTTTGAATTAATGTCTCTGGGATAGACTCACCTTGTTCAGGCTTAACCCCTGCTTCCTTCCTGTTCTTGCCTCTGTTGAATATTTTTAACGTACCGCTTCAGAGGCATCCTGCACACACTTTCCTAGCCTCCTCCTGCCCTTCCTGCCTTGCTGCCCCTACCAGCATGGGGGACACAAACACATCTTGCAACTGGCATCTGCACTGCCATTTTGCAGCTCAGTTTGGGACACAATTTCTCATGCTCATGCACAACTTTGGCTTGTCAGAGATCAAGGATAACTCACTGCAGGTTTCTGACTTGGTCCAGATCAGCATTGTGTGCAGATCCAGTGTGGGGAACCCCAAATGCTGTTTTTGCAGCAGCAGTTGAGTCCAGCCTCTCTAGTTCCGCTCCTGTCTGGGGATGTGTTCATCAAGAACTGGATGCCTGCTCTACCATGTCCCTTCCCCATAGATTTAGGTTTTTATTGCTTTCTATGGGTGGAGAAAGTAAACCGGACATGGCTGTGGGTAATCGTGTGGTTAAAAGAAGTATCCACCATATTTTTCTAAACACATCTAAAGGTGTCTTTAGAAGCATTCTCAAGATGCTTCACTTTCTCTGGACTTGGTTCTGCATCCACTAGCTACAGTACACTTTATGTCCCCCATCACTGACCCTTATACTTCTCTACCAGTGACAGTCTTCCTGATATACTAAGTAAACCAAAGCACAAAGCATCCAGTCATCCCTAAGCCAACCTGACCTACCTCTCAGACTTACACACTAGTGTAAGTCAGGACTTGCTGGACTGAAGTCAGCTTGGTACTGCTGATGGAAAACAGGCATATGAGAAATGTCTCAGCCCCTAGTGCTAGACAAAGAATATTTAAAAACAAATTTGGCCCTAAGAATTGCTCCACATCTCCGAGCTGAGCTCCAGCCTGGCTTAGGACGTTATTTCCTACCTGCTTTCACAAGTGCTTTCTCCCCCTGTACACCCTGCCCCATCCTTTGTGTTTCAGAACAGAGGCATTTTGTGCTAGATCCACTTGGATATAAACAGCACAAAGGAAGCAATAAGGAAACTCCTCCCTATCCCTTGCTCTAACCACTTCAGACATGCTGCCAGCTTGCTGCAGGGTACAAATTATCACAAACTCGGGGAGATCCCTTACCTGGAGAGGCTTCAGCTCTGGTGCATCAGTGACTGTTGGGGATCAGATGCCCGTTTCAGTGCAACAGCCGGTCTACAAATTACGACTGCTCCGGAGCACCTGTCCATGCGGTTGCTTTCTGTCTCTTCACAAATCAGGTAGGCTGGTTATCTATTAAATAGGGAGAGCGCGTGCAAGAGAGAGTGAGAAGGTGAACACACAGAGGAAATCAGGCAGTTTCCTGTTTGTTTATCATGAACAAAAGCTTGTTTGGCTGGTCTGAATGTTGCTAGCAAGCTGGCCCAGCTGCTGCGGGTGGTGCAGAGCTGAGCTCTTCCACTAGCATGAAAGGAAGAAGTAAGGCAAAGTCTCACAGGAAGAAAAAAAAAAAAAAACCAAACCAAACCTCTCTGGAGGTTTACAGCCAAGGCAGAATGGTGGGCAGGAAGGTTTCACCTTGGCTCATAGGGCTCTGTAGTGTGAAGGTGGCAGCCAACTGCTGCTCTTTGGTCTCAAGTAGGTGATGCGTTCTGGCAGCAGTGAGGGCTGTAGTCCCTCTCGTACAGGACCCTTTAAGTACATTTTCAATTTCCAGCAGACCTTTACCCAAAACCTGGTCCCTGTAGTTTAGTTTTTGGACTATATTCAGAGAAATACAAGTGATGAGTCCGTGCTGCCATTACACTAATTGCTTCGTGGCCACAAAACTACAGGGCTTCAGACTAAAGAACTACCAAGCTTTTACCAACGCTGGGCCCTCCAGTATGAATTCATTATACTAGTGTTCTGGACCCAAGGACTCAGTGCTGTTTCCTAATGTCAAGCTAAAGCAACTTGCACCTCTGAAGTCATGCCTAGACATTTCTGTTGTTCCTGTTCACCCTGAATTAGTAATATTAGTAATAAACTAGGGAGATACTTTGGTGAGTGGGAAAGGAGGAATGCTCAAAGGGCTGCGAGGAGACTGGATGCAAAGCCAAATCACTCTGGGACCAGCTTAGAAAGGCATTTGCACCTTTCAGTGTGCTACCTGAGGCTAGAGGAGTTAAAACCTGGAGCTAGAGATGCTCAGCAGAGTGAAATGGGCACCAGAGGTTTTCCAGGACAGCCCAGCAGTGGGACTAAGCCCTCGTACCTATCAGAGCAGTACTGCCCGTCAGACAGCTCTCATGCCAGCTTGTGCCTTTTCTTCCTCACCTGGTGACTGTGTTAATTGTGTTTGCCCTTGACCGTGTCCACTCTTTGCATCGTCTGCCCAGGGCAGGGTGACCTCCCCACTCATCTGCCCCCACGGGAGGCTGGGGGGGACACCCTTTGGTCCCGCTACCCTTCCCACGCAGCGAGAATTGCTGCTGCCATCTGGTGGGAGAGCAGCCTGGCTGCCGGCCTCTGCTGCTCTTCAGTTTGCAGTCATCTTGCCTTCTGAGAAAGGTGACCTCTTCGCAAGTGTCCTTCCCGGCTAATGCAGTCTGTCATGGTTAGCAGCAAAGCTACAGCCTCCACCTCTCACCCACAAAACACTCCTGGCCCCAAGACTTTCCTGCTAAATGTAACAATTTGCTGGAAAATGGAAAGATCCAGGATTACCTGGTGTGACTTAGCTCTGGGGAGGCAGAGCCTGACAGAAGGGCATTTAATTCTGACTAGCGAACACCCAGGCAAAGGTCTGGGGCAGACCCTTTCTCTGAGTAAATTTTTGGGCCTTTTTATCTGGGTTGCTTTAGGAAGTATGTGCTTGCTTCAGCCCAGTAACACATCCAAACTTGCTGGGGAAGCACTGGCTTTATGCAATCATGCTGTTTCCTCCAGAGAAAACCAATTTCAAACTAATTTGATGAGGGATTGAAAATTGTCAAATATATTAAATGCAATGTGTTCTGTGCAAATAAGTGGCAAAAATGAAGAAAAGGAATACATTCCCCTTCCCAAAGCATGGCTGCAATCCCTAATAAGCAGCAGAAAGCCCACACAACAGACAACTGGTGTAACTGCCTGATGCAGAAAATTCTTCAATCAATTGGACTTGTGCCAGACCATAGGCCCACTGGCTTTTCTGTTCACAGAAACAAACCTGAGGTTTCTTCACCTCCCTTCAAGTGGTATCATCCAGCTGCCTCCCACCTGCGCTCACAGCTTACCTGGGCCTGAAGCATCTTACCCAGAAGATGTGGCACATGGTGGTCATGGAGTCCTGTGTCACAGACAGTGCCTGCTCCTCTGGGCATGGTCACGAGACAGCCCCTTCCCTGCTCTCTCTAAGGATGAGGTGAAGGGGGAAGATGTGCCATTACTGGAGCATCTCCAGCACCTTCGTATGTGTGAGAGTTGCAAGGAGCAGGTAGCCCTTGCAATAGCTCTGCCCTGCAGCTGGGAGCCAGCCTGGCTGAGGCCCTGCAGGATGCTGAGCTGAGGGAGTGGTTTATGGAGGATTTCTGGGAGGGCAGACCAAGACCTGCACAACTGAACTCCTCTCACTGTCCTCGGTACAAAGCCACAACAAGACCCTCTCTTGTTTCTTTACCCCAGGTTGCGCTCCGCTTCCATGAGCAAGTTTTTGTTAATGGATTATTAAGAGCAACAAGGTTAGAAACGCCAGAGAGGGTGGGGGTGCCTTGTTTGTTCGAGCAGCATGGGCGGCCTGCCTTCATGTTACCCAAGCCCGAAGCTCTTTCTATTGCCCTGACAAGTAGAGCACTGAGAGCAAGTGCTCACACCCTGCTAACACCTCCCGAATGCTGCGAGGGAAGGGAAGGGCCAGCGTCCTGGGAAGCAGAATTCAACCTTCAGCTCTCTTCTGTCCAGCCTTGCCCTGGAACTCCGGGCAGGCCAGTCCTTGACTACACCATCTTGAAGTTTTATTTTTTTTTTTACAGCAGGGAGACTGCTAGCACCTAAGCAGTTTGGCAGAGGGTGACAGGCAGTGCTCACTCTGCTGTGCAGCTCTCAGAGCAGCATACATCCAGTAAGCAGAAGGTGTTTTCTCACCCAATATCCCTGTACAGCCCCCACAAAACCACATCCTGATTTTAGGGTCCCTGTTCTCATCTGGAACCAGATAGCTCAACAGTCCACATGGTCTACAAGGCTGAAGAGTGGCTATAAACACAATATAAACAAGGGGTTCAGCTAGCACACACAAAGACAGCTACAGGTTCAAGAGCAGCTTTGAAGTCTGATGAGTTCATGGCAGCTTTAGGCATTAAGTGAAGCAAAGCGAGGGTAAAAGAGCAGTTAACAGCCAGGGAACATTTGTAAAAAGAATTATACCCAAAAGCAAAGGAAATGGTGATTAATCAGACCCAGGGGCCACCGTTAGAGCCTCAGACACCTCCTCCAGAGAGGCCAACAGCAAAAGCAGCAGGAAACACTCCACACTCCACTGAAAATGTAGAACTGGAGGGAGAGGTAATGCAGAGCCACAGAAGCTGAGAAGAGATTTGAGACACACTGTTTTGAGCCCAACACCTGGTGCATGAAACTAACAGAGAGAAACGCAGGAAACGCTAAGGGGGCTTTAAAAGGAGCCTTGGGAGAGAAGTGGAAGCTTCCTTAGAAGTGTCTGAAGCAGTAAACCAGAAGAACAAGAGCACTGGAAGGGGAAGAGATCTGGAAGTTATTTGGGAGTTATGGACCTGACTGCTCAGCTGCTTAAAATATTTTGCAAGCTCAGGCACCTCATCACTGCAAGACTGTACCCTGCCCAACAGAAAAAGCAGGCAAGTCTTTCCATTTTGCCAGAGGCAAGGGCAACAACTCAGAGTGGCTGTACAATGACGAAAGGAGCCCACCATTCACAGCAGCTTTCCCGAGGGCTCAACATCCTCAGCATAGCGATGACGCCAACCTAAGACTGTGCTGCACAGGGCTAACAAACATGGTATGAGCACCCCGTTTGCAGGATGGGGGTAGTGTTGTACCAGGCGAGGACCATGTCTTCTGACAGCTGCTGACAGGTTTGAAGTTCCCTGTAGGCTGTATCTGGTACAATACACCCCCGCTTTCTTTCCAACAGCACAGCGTTGCGTCAAGAGCACCCTGGAAAATGTACGTACATTCAGTAAACAACAGCCTGAACTGTGCATGGAAAGCAGTTAAAAGCCTTTGCAATAACCTCAAGATATTCTCGGCCTTACCTTGTTGCAGGAATTCAGGCTAAGAGTCATATTTCAGGCTTTTGTCAGGAGCAAGACCTATTTGCCTGTGCCAAGTGACTTTTAACCAAATAATCTAGCACAAGTATAAGGTGTGTTGCTCCACTGACCCAACCTTCATTTGTCTGAGTTATCAAGAAAAACCACCCCACACTACACTTGGGACCGTGACATTTATTGAAGGCTGATTATACAATCTCAAACCCATCACATCCTCCTCACAATTCAGGTTCTCTAAATAAAGAGTATTGATTTAACAGAGAATTCTGCCCACCTCCGACTGCCTGAGCCACAGAGCACCGAATCATCCCCTCTTTGTCCCAGGTGCCATTTGCAATAGGCCAACTGCCACTTCTACTGACCTTGGTCCTGCACAAGGCAGCAAAAGATCAGCATGTGGCAGCAAGGGGAGAAGTGGAGATGTCCCACTGCCAGCATGTACATGAGAATTATTTCCTGTGGAGGAAGCATCTTTTCCTCTGTGCCTGAAATCTATCTACTACACACAGTGAATCTCTGTTCTCACCCCCAGCCATTCCACTCGACCTGTGCCTCCAGCTGTCAGTGCTGTGGTTCACACAGGCACAGCAGAGCCACTGCCTAACAGCCAAGATGTCCCCTCTCAGCTGGCACCTGAAAAAAGACTGGCTTGACTGAAGAGCGAGCCCCGAGCATCCCTGTTCCATAGTCCAAGACCTGCAAGTCTGTAACAACCCTGGCTGAGCCAGCCTAAAGGCACTGAAGCATCACTGTGAAACCTGACTGATACAGCACTCATGGTCAGGGAGTCACCTGGGCTACTTGTTCATCCCAGGAGTGAACAGATGAAAACTCTGTTGCTCAAACTGCCTGGGAAGGGGCAATTCTCAAGCCTAGCTAAAAGGTCAATGGAGCCACTGCTCTGACCGTACATGGGAGGAATGGAGGTTTGCTGTCAAGTGTTCAGTTTTATTTGATTAAGAATTCAAAATGGGTTTAATTTCCTCTGCTTTTACCAATGAGGAAATTGCAAGGATTCTTTTGAAAAGGGCTGATCTGATAGGTGGAGGTGACCAGGCTAGCTATGGCTGCAGAGCCAGGTTCACTGTGGCAGCTGGAGGAGCACAGACTGTCCAGAGGGCAGATAGGTGATATTGCGGGACCGTGAGAGCTGGTACGCGATGTCTTCAGCCGCCTCCAGCTTGCGCAGCTCAATCAAGCCATCGCCTGCAGTGGCCAGTGAGTTGGCAATCAGCTCGGCTGCTTTTGAGTCTCCCTCGGCAGAGATGACAGCCGCTTTCTTTTGCTGCTCAGCCTGAAAGTAAACACATGAGAAGGGGAATAAGCAACAGGGAAAACCAGAGCGAAAGAGAAGGAAGATGCTATTGTCACATTTAAAATATAAATTCCCACTTCACCACCCTACAGTTCTTTTCCTCAGTGGGAGAGCTAAGATAGAAGGTGATTTTATTTTAAAGCTGTATTCTGTTAGACTGTTTTTCTGCCTGCTGTGGAAAAAAATGTTGAAAAATCATCTTGAAATTGCCTTGTCAGTCTTAACCTCATGAAACATTAACCCACCTAAGGGGCACTCCCTTTGGAAAATTGTCTATCAGAGTCGAGAACTTCAGTGGAGTTAAAACCAGGTCAGATAAACACTTCTACTGTTTAATCCTCCTGGTTGATTACATGCATCTTACTGCATCCACTAGATTAACTTTAGGTGTAATTGTAGGTTCTTGCAATTTCAACAGGTGTGTGTTCTCAGCCATACTGGGGTACTTTTACACGAATTGTTTCTGTGGACGTTCACCAAGATCCTGGGTTGATCTGAGATGTGGCCTTGCATGCAGTCAGTAACACACCAAGGACATGGGCCCCCGTGCCATGATATCAACCACCATGGAAAGCTTTGGCCACCCTCTCAAAATTCAAAATTCATAGCAGGATCGCTTGGGTTGCAAATCTCAACCTCGAACCCCATTTCTAACTGACTGCTGATTCCTCCCTCCTCCACACAGATGTTTCTGTTCAGCATTCCAGTAAGACTGACATGGTAGTAAAAGAAAGACCCCAAAACTCAACAAAACCAACCGTAGGCTTTATCTATCCAACAATCATGTGCCAGAGCTGAGAACCATATCACCATTATGACCCTAAGTGACTTCATCATTCAACCTGCCCAGTCTCCTGGACAGGTGAGCGAGACATTCACTGCAAGCTAGAGTGAGAAGGAAATACCAGGAACCGTTTCCAAGTTTCTCAGAAGGATGAGGTACCTTTTCCACAATGAATCTGGCTCTCTCTGCTTCTTGCTGAGCCACTTGCTTCATTTCCACCGCCTCTGTGAACTCCTTGCCAAAGGTGAGATGGGTCTGCAGGGCAGAAATCAAGCAAAGTCCACAATACTGACAGTTTACAGCAGTGCTGCTGCAACATGCACAGCTCCCGGGGGCAGGCAGCCTGCCTGTATCAGTGAAACTGGAATGGAGATGGAAAGCCAGTATCCCTAAAAGAACAGAAACTGGGACAAGTAGGCCTCCCCATCCAGTTTTGATGTTTCAAGGGAGCCATCACCAGCACAGCTCCAGTCCTAACACCAGTAATTTCAGAGAAGCACCACGCTCTCCTGCCACCACCGCCTGCACGAGCACCCGGCAGAGGGAGCCCGCTGGCTCAGCGCGCCCCTCCCACAGCAGGGCAGCCCGCGCTCTGCCAACCCATCTACACCTCTCATGCTCCATTATGCACTGGTGTGCTCAGCCCGGGCTGCCTGGACAGCCGTGCGCTCCTGGGATGGGACAGGGAAAAGGTGAATTTCCTTCAGTAGTGTGCTCAGTGGAAAGCACCAGAAATGACGAGTCAAAAACTCACGTTTTGCAGAAACTAAGTCACCTTCCTGCAAAGACTTCCTATATGTTCAAAGGCAAATGAAAGAGCTTGTTTCCATTTCCTCTAAGCAGACTTTCAAGGGAAGTCCCAAAAGAGAGAGGGAGAAGTGCATGTACAGATAGATGAAAACAGATTTAACTTACAAAGCTTATAGGGCGGTAGGAGGGAAAAGCTCCCTCCTTGAATAGTCTTAGAAGACTTACACAGCCAGGAGAATAACTAATAAATACTTCATAGAAAAAAGATGCTATGAAAAATATACATCTGCACTGCCTCCTCATGCCTTGCACTTTCTCCTGTGTCTCAGGGTACCTGTGGAACAGCTGCCTTTTCTAAAGCAAGGTGCAGCCTCATCCATCACCCACAGAACCATTTGCTCTTTATTTGAACTGTAAAAGCCCTGCAACAGTGAAGTCTGTCGATAAGCCAGCACAGCAGAGCCTTCAAGGGCTTGCTCAAGGTCACAGGCCAGCGACAAAACCAGAGGTACTGGCTTGAGCTGTAACCGCTACATACCATGCAATGGCAGACAGACAGACATAGTCCACGCATCCAAACTTCCAGCCCACCCTTCTCTGGCCATCCACTGAGCCTCTTCTCCACTGCTCTTACTTGGGCACACCCCAAAGAGAAAAACTGAAAAGGGAAAACTCTTACCAAGGACACATCATCCAGAATGAGCCCGAAGGTTGCTGCTCTCTCCGTGAGGTCTTCACTCACTTGCCTTGAGACCAGCTCTCTCTGAGTGATCAATTCTCCAGCATCAAAGCGAGCCTGAAACCAGGATGGACAACAATAAGAAAGCTCCCAGAAGTGACAGATTCTCCAGGCCCTGCCTGTCTTTGCACCCATGAGCCCGTTAATCCAGTTCTCCTCCCAAAGCTAGCAAACACAGAGCTGCCCAGGTGTTTGAAGTCAAAGACTGAACAACTGGGAATTTAAGTGTAAGCTGGAGGGGAGGTTGTCCAGGTGAGCACTTAACATAAAAAGCACACAAGCTAGACTAAAGCTGATTAGTAGCTATTTAGCAGTCACTGGGGATGCTTCCAAACCCAGAGATCTTCAGTAAACTGTAAACGGAAATCTAAGATTACATGAGAAGTGAAAATCCCAGTCTCCTGCTCGAGATTCCCAGCCTGAAGAGCAGAGCTAACAGCCGAGAGCAAGTAATGAGAAAACCCCTTTCCATCCAGAGATGTGAGTCAAGTCAGGCCAAGCAGTCAGTGACAGAGAAACAAGCAATTAGCATAGCTACATAGCTTTTCTGGATGGCCCATGAGAGCCTGAGGGTTGGAAAGAGAAGCTTTATTCTGGAGCACAACATATTCTACACTTCAGCAGGGCTCTCACTGCTAAAGAGGGGAAAAAAGGTAACTGGCAGAGCCCAGCAACCCTCATGCTGTCCTTACCACGACAGACTTGAGGATTTCGGTTGTGATTGAGGGCAGGACACGCTCATCGTAGTCCTCTCCAATACTAGTGAAAATCCGCGGTAACTGGGCAGTCACTGGTCTGAACAGGATACGTAACGTGATGTTCACGTTCTGTAGATCTGTAGGGAGACACAAGTTTAGTGACAAACCACAGGGACAGGAGAGATCCTGAAGCTGTCCTCTCCAGGGCAACTAAATTAGAAATAATAAACATTCAGACTTCTTTTTGCCAGCAGTTATTTTTACTTCCCCTTTTTCATCTTGGGACCCAAATCCTCCGTACAGATAAGATTTAAGCTTCAGTGTGTTTGCGATGCAGGGGATTCCTTACCCTACTGTAAAGGCAGAGACTTTGTGTTTAAAGGACTGAAGGAAGGGTCCTTTAATCTGTAACTGAAAAGACAGATCAAACCATCCCTGACTCTGTGCCAAACTGGACTTGGGACACGTGGGATCTCCACATCCAGAAGAAAAAAAAAAAAAAAATAAAAATCCTCAGACCACCTGGTTTTCTTCCAGTTGCCAGGTCCAAACACTCACCTTTGCTGCCTGTGATCACAGGAATGTTACGGGGGCGAGAGCGGCAGTCAAAAATGATGGGTTTCTGTACCCAGGGGATGAGGAAGTGGGTACCTTCTCCTACCACTGTGTCCTGGACCCCACGGAATCGGTCAAAGATGACAGCTCTGTGCCCTGCGTCAACTAGAGAAGAAAACAGCACATCAAGCGCGGTTTTGCTGCTGCTACCCGTTGTACCTGCACACCAAAACCTTCTCCATGGAAAGGGTTTATCAGGGTCAGTTAAGACCTTTTGCCACAGATCAGTGAAATTAATTCAATCGCTTGGAGCAACAAGGCAAAGAGAAGATGCAGCCATGCCTCCTGACCCCCCAGCCCGCTCACATGCATGGCAGCTGACTGAGCTTTATAGAGAAAGGCCCTCACAATCCTCTTGCTTGTGCAGTGCACGAGGTATAAAACAGCACAGCAATGTCCATTTTCACGTCCATTTTCTCCTGGTGCCATTAGCAATAAAAGCCCAGAGCAGCCAAGATACTGACAAAAAAAATAAAAATAAAAATAAAGTGAACTGGAAGCACTCAGCTTCTCGCACTCACCATTGTAAAGAGCAGAATTGACAACTCCACCCGCGACAGCCAACCCCAGGCCGAGCTTCCCAAGGCCTTCAAACACCTTCGCAGCCATTTCCCACGTCCCGTTGCAGCCTCTTTAGAAAGTCCCTCCTGAAAAAAAACAAAGCAAAACAAAACCCACAAGTTTGGTAAAACCATGTTAAGCAAGAAGGCCAGGGGGTCCTGCGTGCAAGCGCCTACAGAGCCGAGGATTAACCTCCAACCCCAGCGCCCGCCCGCCCGCCCCGCATCCCGGCTCACCCCAGCCTCCCCGCACCCCGAACCCGGCCCAGCCGCCTCCCGCTCCCTCCGAGGCCGCTCGTCCCCAAGGACCGGGCGTCCGGTGACCCGAGGCCCCGCTCGCTCCCGCCCGCGGAGCCCCGGGACCTACCGCCCCCCCCACCTCCCCCGACTCCGCGCCCCTGACCTCCACATGAATCCGCGGCCGCCCTCCCCAGCGCGCATGCGCGCCGCACCAAAACGCCCGCTCCTCATTGGCCCGCGCCCCTCCGCGGCATTCTGGGATATGTAGTTCCACTTCGCCCTTCCCTCTTGCCCGGCTGGCTGACAACTCCCGGCGAGCCCCGCGGCCACACTCTCGCTTCAGCAAGGACGCTTGCCATTGGCTGCGGGCTTCCCGCTGCCCGCAAAGCCTCTCGGGAGTCGTAGTCCTGGCGTCGGGATGCCACGTTGGGGGAGCTCTGAGGTGCGACCTGAACACCCAGGGAGGGTGGGCCAGCGTGTGCCCCCTCCTCGCTTGTCACAGGAGAAAACGGGCCTGGAACTGGCCTTTTCCAGTGCCACCAGGGCAGAGGGGCAGCGCGTCCTGGGGAGGGGGGCGTGGGGGTCAGTGGCGGTTCAGTGGATTTTGGGGAAGCACTGGCAGTGCCCAGCGGGGACCCCAGAAGTCTGGCCACATCCCCCGCTGGCTGTGATGTTCCTGGAAAGTGGTAATTAATTCACTCTCTGGGACTCAATTTTGGAGTTTTAGAAATCAGGCATTCTTTATTACAGGGCTAGACACAGAGGGGAGAGCTCCTCCTAATGTGTGAGTGTGAGAATGAAATCAACTACCTTAGTCATACATATTCATTGCATTTTTATGATATTCATAACTTCTCCGGGAACTCATTTAGCATATGTTAATTTCTCTGGTGCATGTCAGTTGGAATCTTCGGGTGGTCGTCGGGGGTCTTCAGATGAAGGCTCGTAGTCTTCTTCACTGTGTTCGCCAGTTGACCCTCACTTCTGCGCAAACTCAGTCCTGTGGTCACATACATCTTGTCCTTCCAGGCTTGCCTGCTCTAGTTCTGTTGCTAATTTGCAGTTTCTTTATATTTATTTGCACCTGCCACTACAAGGCCAAACCGTCTCCAGTAAGATAATTTATCAGTGCCTTATCCTATAGTTATTCCAACTATTTCTCAAAAGATCAGTATTTGTTCTGCAGCACAATTGTTAAATGATTAAAACATCTTAAATCGATCTTAATAATTATATTCCACAAATATATATTTTCTAATAATCTTAGTTTGCAGGTATCAGTGACACTGTTCCCAGACCAGGCAGACACCCGCCACATGCACTTTGTCCCCTTTGGTGTGAGAAACCAGCCAGCCCCCAGCGCAGCCCCGTCCCGCTGCGGACAAAGGCCCCTTATTCCCTCGCCATGAGCCTCCCCTTGGGCCCAGCGACCCCCCGAGCAGGAGGCCCGATGCCACTAGAGGGAAGCAGCACTCTCCCATCGGCTCCAGGAATCTGGATTAAAAGGGAAAAAAAGAAATGGGAGGAAAAAAAAAAAAAAAAAAAAAAAAAAAGAGAAAGAAACCCTCTTCCCAGGGAGACCCCAGAGGAGCCGCTTTCCCCCTGGCAGCCCTGTCCTATCCCCACTGTGGGACCCTCCCTGGTGGGTTTTCCCTCTGATGTGACACCCCTGGTCACTGGGCACTTCATTACCTCCCAGTCCCCATCCTCCCTGACAGCATCTCAGGATAAAAATGGTGCTGAACCCCCTCCTTTAGGGTCCAGCAAATCCCAGGAGCAACCAGAGAGCATCATGTCCCCTCTCAGAGCATCCCCTTCCTCCCGCTTCTCTGCTCTGTGTGGGGAAACTGAGGCACGGAGCTGCTCAGCAACCTGGCGATGGAAGCTCCTGTGCTGCAACCTGGCTGCCTGTGCTGTCCTTTGAGTGGGGTGACAGATCAGGGCCCTAAAAGTGAGGGCAGGTCCCAGCTGATATCCCTGATCCCCAGCTCTCGCCTTGCGTGTGCTTCCAACCCTGTGTGCGCAGCCTGGGCCGGCCGCACTGGACCAGCTCCTGCCTGGGAAGGCCACCCCCCTCCTGGGTCCCCTCTGGCATCCCGGGGTCCCCCAAGTCCCCAGCACCTCTGTGTGGACACGTGTGGTGTGGAAACCCCATCCTGTGTCTGGCAATGCTCCTTTCAAGGCCACAAAAGCTCTTTTGTGCCTCAGCAGCAGTGGGAAGTGAACAGTGCAGAGGACCAGGATGAGGTGAGGGTGTTCAGTGGTAGCTGAACCTGCTGGGGGACCCCCTCCCCCCAAAGCCCACCTGAAGTGGGGGTGCCCCAGGGAACCACGGCCAAGGCCTAAAAGCTGCCCTGAGCAGGACCTGGCCCTCCTCACAGTCACTATTCCTGAAAACCCAAGGCAACACTAATTTGGGGGGGGCAGATCTTGGCAACCCCTTCACTGCAGCAGGAAGGCAGCGTAACGCTGCATTTTGGGTGCTCCCATGCCCACCTTTGGCCACGTGCCTCCTGCCAGGGATAAACCCCGGGAGCATCCACCTCCGCCTCCAGCCCAGTTGGCAGGATCAGCCCCAACAGCCCAGCACCATCCCAGTGCATCCCCCACCACCCGCTGGGCTTTCCCCCAAGGATGACTTTGTCCCGGGAGGCTTCTATCTACTTGCATCTAATCCAATAACAACATCCTAATTGGTGACAAAGCCACGGCTATAAACACCGAGAGATTTATTCCCTTTTGATGTGAGATTCACGCAGGGCACAATTCAGTCATTAAACTCAGAATTTATGGAGCTGGGGCTTTGCACCCCCCTGCCCGGCATCACCCTGCGCTTTGCATTTCACAGCAGCCATTGTGGGCATGTTTGCTGCCAGCTTTGTGCAGCCCCCTTCCCTTTTCCTCGCTGTATGAAATGAGTGTTTCCCATTCATGCAAGAAAGGGAAAAAGGCTCGTGGCAATGTGGATTTTTGGTTCAGGGCCTGGGTTTTAGGGTGGGAACCCCGGGAGCCGCCGGGTCGGAGCCGGTGACACCCGCTCAGCGAAACCGGAGGAAAATGAGCCCTTTGTGCGGGGAATATCTGGCGGGTGATTCAGCCAGGGCTGACGCCGGCCATACGGGCTGACACGCCGCTTGGCACTTTGTGGGGACCTGATGTTTCTCCCCGCCACCCACCAAAACTGTCCCCAGCTTTGTGGGCTGGGGGACATGGCACAAACCCTTGGTGACCGGTGACTTGCCAGGTTCGGGATGGAGGTGAGGGGCTGAGCAGTCCCAAATCAGCCAGGAGCATCCTGTGCCCCACGGGACGAGGCGAAGGTGGCTGTGGAGGTGCACCCTGAAACAGTGCCAGGATGAGACCCAGTGGCCACTGTCCCCAGGTGTCACTGCACCCCTCGCTTGAATCTTTTAACGAAGCTGCTGCTATCCACCATGTTTTGGGGGGACATTCCTCCACGGGGCAAAGAAACGGCGGCTTCAAGAAGCGGCTCATTGTCCTCAGGCGGTGCGGCCAGAGCTGGACAGCCTGGCCCAGCTCCGGCCACCACGGCACAGGAACAAAAAGCCTCCTCTTCTCCAGCCCTCCACAACCGGGCGTCCCTGGCCAGCGCTGCCCCTGAAAAATTTATGGCATGAAGTTTGCAAACTGCGGAGAATCCGAGCGCTCGGCGGCCGGTGACCCCAGGGACGCGGGGCCGTGAAGGCAGGCGTCGATCCGCAGGGATGCGGTGGCAGAGTCACGGGCGTGGAGAGCTGCTTTTGGCAGAAATGAGTTTTTTCCAACCCAAACCCATGGGTTTGGTTCATACATGGAGGGATGGGGATTATGCTGCTGCCCGTTCCCACCCGCGCGGCCCCACACAGGGGTCCCAGCCTGAGCCTCGGCAGCTCCAGCCCCACGCCCGGCACGTAACCCAGTTAGTCTCAATAAGCATTTAAATTAAATTAGTTAAACTACATTAAACCCCTGCGAGGACACGGTTCAGAGTGGAAACAGCCTTAATGTGATTTCAGCTGACTTCCCTGCCACAATTTGCAAGTCAGAGAAATCGAATTAAGGCTGTTTTCATTCTGAACTCTGTCCACACAGGCCTGTAATGCAGTTTAATTAATCTGCTTTAAAATTGAGCCTGTCTTTCATTCAGACAACTTCACCTGACTCACCCCAGAGAAGCAAAAACTGCTCAGGCAGGCAGTGGGATCGGGCTGGAAGCCCTGGGTAGGCGCAGGGCTTGGCTGTAGGCTTGGGGATGGAAAGTCCTGAAGGATTTAGAGAAATCCAGCATTATCCCTAATCCCATCGGGGAATTAATCTGGGGCCAGGCTCCGTGCAGCAGCGAGCTGCAGCAGCCCGTGCTGGGCTCCCCCACGCCCAGGGAGCCGGAGCATCCCGGCTCTCTGCCGCCCGGGGTCCCAGCAGCGCCGCGGGCACTGGGGCCAGGGTTTCTCGGCTCTCCTCGATGGTTATCGCCGCTTAACAAAGTTTCCTCCTCAGTGGAAGCGAGCAGCTAGCTGAAACCGGCTGCATTAAGGCCGGTGCTGCTCCTGGGAAGGCTGTAATGGCTGGTAATTGTTCCAAGGAGGCTGGGGCTGGGCCAGGGAAGATGTCGGCTTCCCAAAACCCACAGCCCCTTTATCTTCCCCACATCCTCCAGCTGCTCCCTGTCCCCTTCCCCATCCCCTTCCTCTGGCTTGCACCAAATTTGCAAAGTAAATGGGCTGCTCTGGTCTTCATCACCAAAACACAACCCCAGTGGGGATCTGGGGCTCCCCCCGGCATGCAGGGGCACCTCGTGTGCAAGGGGTGGGGGGTGTGTGTGTGTGTGTGTGTGTGTGTGTGTGTGTGTCTCCCATCTTCCCTTTGCTCCCAACCCCTTTTCTCTATAAAGGTAAAATGGCATCTCCATAAAGGACCTCCAATTAAAAGGGAGTTAATGACTTAATGAATCATAACAAAATCTGCTTGCATTAGCACATGAACTGCTGACCCTCTCTGGTTGTGGCTACCAGCTTTTTAATTGCATTACCTTTTTATTTCCTTCCCAGCAAATTGTCTGCTTGTTAAGTGTGTTGGGGTGGAGCGAGCGGGGCTCTGGAGGGTGAGGGACAGGTAGAGCCCAGCCCGGAGCGGGTGAGCCCCCCCTGCACCCCATCCCGCACCAGCACTGACCTGGAGCCTGAGCCCCAGCACACCAAGAATCCACGCTGCTCTTTTCCTCTGATGA